CCGACCATTGCTTCCCGCCGGAGAGAGACGAACGACGATTGAGACAGAGAGAGAGAGACGAAGCGGTAGGAAAACAGATAGAGGGAGACGAACGTCCTACGGGAAAAAAAAGAGAGAAAGGAAGGCGACGGTGATGGAATTTTGCAAGAAAGAGAGAGGAATTGAGAGGCCGGCGAGAAAGAAAGAACGAGACGGGAATAGAGAGAGAGCTGAGAAAGAGAGAGAGACGATGATATTTTCTGATTTTAGAGAAAAATAAATGAATAATAATAAGAGTAATATATATATGGGGAGTAATTTGGAAAGAGAAATTAGTGTTAGGGAGTAGAGAGGAAGTTTAAATGTGGAGGGACTGACAAGGAAGTGAAATTGTGGAATAGGGATTTATAAGGGATTTGCCGTTAAAATAATCATATTTTAATGATCTTCTATTTGACATCCATATTGCATATATAAAATAAAAAATAATTACATCTATCAATATAAATAAAACTATATTTATTAAAAAAATAATTTCAACAATATGAATACAACATAAATTATTTTATAACAAAAATAATAAAAATCTAATTCAGTAATACACAATAAAATAAACATTTAAATTCGTGTTATCATAGATTTTATATAAAATAAGAAAATTAAGTGCAAAAATACGGACTCCATTTTGAGTTAATTTTTACTATGTTAGTTATTCATAATTTTTATATATTCATTATACATAATTTTACAATACAAAAATTATAAATTATTTTAGTTTTTCTATTATAAAAATATTAATATAATTATGTACCCGTGTAGTACACATGTATCGTACTAGTTGATACATATTTCTCTTGAAAATTAGATAGGTTTTTGAATAAATAATTTTTAATAAAATTTAAATTATATAATTTAATTTTATAAAATTAGTTGGTAAATTTGAACGACATAAAATACAGATTTATAGATTTAGCATAATATAAATTTATATGAAATAAAGATTAACAAAATATATTTTTTATAATTGAACAATTTATACAAAACTAAATTTATACTAATTACTAAAAAATTAAGAAAAATTAATGGTAGAAGAGATAAATAGTGAAGATGATAAAAAGAAAATAATAAAAAATATGTGGAGAAGAAAGAAAAAAAGAAAAAAAAAATAAAAAAATTAGAAAAGTTAATAGTGGAAGGAGAGAGAAATAATAAAATAATATGTAAATGTAAATTGTAGTGGGATGATGTCATTATTTGTTTTATTTTTGATTTAATTTAATATTAGGGAGTTAGGAGGAAGAAAATTAAGGGGGTGGGGAATGTAGAGGAAAAAAAATAGAGAAGGGACTGACAAGGAATTTAGAAAAGGGAATAGGGATTTTAGAAGAAGTGTCCCCAAATATAATCACTTATTCAGATAAAAACATATAATATTAATTTTAGAATAAATAAATCGAACAAAATTTTTTACAATATATTTTTTATGTTCGTGTAACTTTTTATATTATTTAGTGTAAAATATAAGTACTAATTTTAATAATGACTATTATATGATACATTAAAAAATATAATTATTACTCAATGAATACAAAATATAATTGTTTTTGTCTTAATTAACCAAACAAAAATGCAATAAAATGTTTTATCTTTATGGGTTATGGTGGATTAATTCAATAATAATAATTAAAATTAATAATAATAATAATAATAGTAATAATATTAATAGTGGATTGTAACAGTTTTTGTGTTAAGAAAGTTGCTACGTAGGTAAAGTTTATGAGATAAAATTTAATGTGTGTGTGTGTGTAATGAGATAAAATTTATTGTGTGTGTGTGTGTGTAATTTTATATATAAGTGTATTAGGAAATAACATGAATATAATTATGATATTTATCAAGTATAATTATTATGTTTTTTAATAAAACGGGTCATAATTGTTAGGTATTTTGTGATTTAATCCCTCCCTATATATTAATTTAAACATGTTGTGTTTAAGTGGTAGATTCTCACGCTTCGGATATTGATATGGCGGAAATCTATGCTTCGTGATGTTAATTTTATATTATTTTTACTTTGAAGTTAAGTTTGGTATTAGACATAGATAATTTTTATCA